CTCATGAGGCGGCTGGCAGACTTCCTCGATCCGCAAGAAGGGTGGAAGAAATTGGCAGTGGATATAACCGACCCGTCCGGTGAAAGCAGATACAGCCAAATGCATATCAGGTCCTACACAGAAGTCACGTAACGTAACCCTGTTTGCTGTCGAACGTAACTTCCGTTGTCCGTCCCGTTATTGCAACTTGTTGCGGTTCGTGTGCCAGTAGGTACTTACGTCGGACAGTACTGTTTCCTTAGGGAACTCAAAGTAATTAGTCATAGAATCACAGAATAGTTAGGGTTGGAAGGGACCTCAAAGATCATCTAGTTCCAACCCCTCTGCCATGGGCAGGGACACCCTCCACTACACCAGGTTGCCCAAAGCCTCATCCAACCTGGCCTTGAACACTTCCAGGGATGGGGCATCTACAACTTCTCTGGACATCCTGTTCCAGTGCCTCACCACCCTCTGAGTGAAAAATTTCTTCCTTATATCCAATCTAAATCTACCCTCTTAGTCCTAATAGTTCTGTAGTTCAGCCTTCAGACAAGCTATAGCCAAAGAAAATTGACTAAGGAAATTAGATTAATCAGAGCCAGACATACGCGGTTTTGGTGATGCAGCACTGGTTGTGTAGCTCTGTGACTTCATTGTGCGTCTTTGCACGAGAACAGCAGAAGTGACAACTGGACTGTGTAACTCCTAATTTTCTGTTCCCAAGAAAACGCCCAGCAAATATGGGGTGCAAGACCTAAAACTGTCCAATTTAATTGAGAAGTGACGTAAGCAGTGTTTTATTAACTCCATGTTGCTTGAAGGGCTTGTTGAATCCTTAAGCCATTTCAAAAGTTATGAGATTTTAAATACCTCACATAGGATCTTGGGTTTACAGTCTTTCTAGTGATGTTACCATTAAATCTTTGTTTGCCTTTCTAGAATAATAATAAATCAGTGAGAACAGTGGATCTCAATTTCTGCCTAATGCCCATTTTGAAGTTCTCAAAATGAAATGTGAATGCCAAATGGATGGAAAAACTCTTTTTTTTTTTTTTTCCTCCATTTGATCTGGCTCTCACTTGCCTTGTTGTCTCACTGGTATTCTCTGTTGGTCCTGCATGCTGATGTATAATGGTTTCTGGGCAAAATGTTGAAACCATCTAAGCATATTTTTCCCTGAGTTTTTTTCCCCATATTCCCCATGTTTTTCCCCTGAGTTTGAATGTCTTTATGTTTTTTTAGCTGTGTTTTCAGAACATTTGCAAATAATTGCACACTACATTCTGATTCTTTTTTTAAAATGTTTTTTAGTGTCTTTTTGTATACCTTTAATCTC